TTCCCTTTCTCTCTCTTTATCTCTTTGTGGTCAAATTAAAAAGATAATAATGATAAGAAATAGAATTAAATTTAAAAATGTTAATTAAATTAACTTTTCTTTTAAATAAGAAAAGAGAGATGTGATGGTTTCCTGGTGCTCCTCAGACTATTCAGGGATTTGACTGTGTGACCTTGGGCATATCCCTCCTCTCATGACCTCAGTTTATAATTCTGATTCTGTTTATTCGGGAAAGCATCCTGTGAGTGACTAAGGTGTGTGTGAGTTCTTCGATTGCCTCTGTTGGACGGGGACATAGTGCTGTGTGACACTGAAAAGGGCACTGACAGGCAGGACCCTCTGGAGGGCCTTCACTGCTCATTCCAGCCTCGTGGTCAGGAGCCAGAGATGTCACTCAGATGTCCGTTGCCAACCTGAGAGTCATTCCTGTGTGACCATGGCCTCTCTCTCTCCAGGTAGAATGGAAGAATCTCACTTCAATTCTAACCCGTACTTCTGGCCTTCTATCCCCACAGTCTCAGGACAGGTAAGTGGCTGCTGTGTCCTCGCCCCCGAAGTCTCCGGTTCTGAGCGCTGCGTGGGCTCTGTGGTGCGGGCACTGAAGCCAGACGCACCTTGCTGCCTCGGCGGGCGCCCTGTCACAACGTCATGTGGTGTTTCTGTCTCGGTTTCTCTCCGGGAGCACAAACATTAACTGCTCACTCCCTGATCTCCAGGGAGGGGGAGGTGCTGAAAATCACTTAGGGCACAGTCAGACTCTGTCTGAAGAAGGCACCCCTTTTCTTTAGATCGAGAACACAATGTTCATCAACAAGATGAAGGATCAGCTGCTGCCCGAGAAGGGCTGTGGGCTGGCCCCACCGCACTACCCCACCTTGCTGACGGTGCCTGCCTCAGTGTCCCTGCCCTCGGGCATCAGTATGGACACGGAGTCCAAGCCAGACCAGCTCACCCCTCACAGCCAGGCGTCCGTCACCCAGAACATCACTGTGGTCCCCGTGCCGTCGACAGGACTGATGACTGCTGGTGAGCACCTCCGCTCGTCTCCTCTCTGAGGTGCTGATCCTCGTGGTCAGCGCCCCAGGCCCGAGGGTTCCAAGGACACGGGGAGTGGGCTGTGTGTTTGATTACTCAACCCAGTTTTTATTAAGTGCCTACTGTGTGCCTGGCAATGCACTAAGGCATTGTGGGGGATACAAAGAAGTAGAAGATGCGGTCCCTGCCTTTGAGAAGGTGACATTCTTTCCTTCTCTGAATCAAGGAGTCTCCTGTTCTCAGAGGTGGAGAAGAGAAGGGAGTCAATCAAGGGGTAAATTTCACTGTTACGGGGGGCGGGGCCAGGGGTTAGGAGACCATTGTTTTCTACAGGGTCGGGGTGTCCTGTGCATTCTGGGCTGGGGGCGGTGGCATGGGGTTAACTAGGCAATGATCCGGGAGAAGTGAAGTGAAGTAGGGTTAGGACCAGGACTGGACGGGTGACCCCATCTTCTCTCTCTCCTCCTCCTAGGTCCGGGTTTGGTCATCACGTCCCCCTCGGGCTCTCTGGTGACCACAGCCTCCTCAGCTCAGACCTTCCCCATTTCGGCTCCCATGATTGTCTCCACTCTCCCCCCTGGCTCACAAGCCCTGCAGGTGGTCCCTGACCTCTCCAAGAAGGTCGCATCCACCCTGACAGAGGAGGGTGGTGGAGGAGGTGGTGGAGGTGGCAGTGTGGCCCCTAAGCCCCCCCGGGGCAGGAAGAAGAAGCGGATGCTGGAATCGGGGCTGCCTGAAATGAATGACCCCTATGTCCTCTCCCCTGAGGATGACGAGGACCATCAGAAAGACGGCAAGACCTACAGGTAGGAGTCCGAGCCCTGGGCCGGATGGGGTGAGGGTCAGTGCTCCGCGTCCCTGCCCTCGGGGTTCCGCGCCAGTCAAGCCCGCTGCTGACAGCTCTCCACCTCAGGGCTGCTGCGTGCCAGGCCGTGGGCAGAGGGCAGACTGCTGGCGTCTCTAGTGCTGCTTCCCTGGCGCAGACCCTCTCACCCTTCCTTTTTTCACCCTGGTTTTGGGGGCCATCAGCATTGGCTTGTTTTCGAGCGACAGAGCAGTATATCTCCTGTGGTGAGGCTGTAGACTGGCCGTGGGACTTGGGCAGCAGCTCCTTTTACTTTCTTTATTTTCCGTTTCTATTTGCCAAGAGCCCATTCTGGTAAGCGCCTAGCCTAACCTGTGTGCCGTTTGCCAGTCCTTGGCTTACGTTCGAGCCCCGAGCCTGCCTGACCCTGCATGGTTGGGATGATGGGAGGGGTCTGTAAACTGGCGGGGGTAGGACACCCTCCCTGCTTTGGAGTATGTGCTTATCAAGTGACTGTTAGCTTCCTTTCTAATTTGTGGGGGTCATTTTGATCCTTTGCTTCCTCTCAACTGTCCATCACCAAAAAGCATTATGTGGATATTTGCATGTGGTACTATACAAAATATGGGTAAACTCCTGCCTTTTGGAAGTTGAAAACGCCTTTTCATCCCCCTTGAGAAACGTCAAGGGCCCCAGAGGGTTGGGAGTTTGGTCCCCCTGTGCAGAGTGGGCTAGCTGCTGTCGGAGCTCTGACTCAAGACGGGCAGGTGTGCATGGCTGGGAGATGGGTCTGTCCTTAGCGTACCGAGATGGGCAATGTTATTCCCATTTTAGGAGCGAAGGGAACTGCGGCACAGGAAATGGACAGAGCCTTGGGCTCATGGATTCAGTTCCCGGCTCCACCACGACCCTGTGTGACCCTGGGCAAGTCCTTTCCCCCTCTCTGGGCCTCAGTTTCCTCATCTGTGAAATGGGGAGAATTCTGTTTACGCCTCCCATTTGTTGGAGTATATATCAGATAAGATTTGAGATGTTGGGAGCTTCAAAAGAAAGATCCAAAGTAGTGGTCGTTTAGTGCTTGCTTTTATTTATGTAGAATACTTCCACTGTGAGAGTACGCCCCACTCCAGCGAGTTTAATCCTCCTGTGTGAGTGAGAACGCAGGGAGTGTTGCTATGCAGAAAGTATCGAGCGCGCAGAATTCTAGCACATAACCCGAAAGCTCACTGCAGCTTTATTATTACAGGTGTACCCACTCTATACAATAAAAACGTTCCCGGGAAATGTTTACATCATATCGTATTATAAAGGTACCTGACGAGTTCGTTCATTCCAAGGCATTCTTTATATTTCATTTCATAAAATGAAAATCCCTTTTAAATGGATCTTGTAGAAATCTGTATTTTTGTATGTCTGCTTCAAATGAGGTCACCGTGACACAGGGACACAGCTATATAAAACGTGGTGTTAGGGTAGTGGAAGGCCCTCCAGCACCCCGGGAGCCCTTCTGCTGGACCCAGTCCTCTGGCTCTGCCACGTTTCTTTTTGGTCTTGGGTCCACATGGGTAGACTTCCTGAACTCTGCATATGAAAAGAAGAGTGAATATACAGTTGGAAGGAAGCCTGACGGGACTTTCCACACGCTCAGTGTGTTTGGAGTTCTTGAAAGACTGGGCACCCAGGTGACTAAGAGTGCTGAAATTTAAGGATGATTGGGTAAATAGAATTTCTTCAGAAACTCAGAACTCTGAAGTTCCAAACTTTCTTTTAGTTTTGCCATAGGGCCCTTGCACTCACACAGAGAGACAGTAAGAGGGAAAGTGGGAAGTCGCCTGCTGTGGGATGGTGGCCACGCCACAGCCTCTTTTCCACCATTATCCTCCTGAGAATTTGGGCATGCACACACACGTGCCTGGCGTGCCTTAAGTCACGGAAAAAAATCTCTAGTTGTTGCATGTGTAAGTCACCCGTACCCATCCTGGGTCAGTAGCATTTGCCTGGGTGTTAGAGGACTTGGTTCTGTTAACTCTGGCCAAGTCAACTTCTCCCTATTCCTTGTCCCCTCTATAGAACAGGAAGGTCAGTCTTGATCAGTCAAGAGCAGTCATCTGTCTTGTGGAAGTGTTCTGAGGGGAAATCAGAGCACTCGGAATTATTTTGAGCATGCTAGGGGGAGAAATGACACAGCAATTCAAAATGGTCATGGTGAGCAAGGCCTTGTATTGGATGTCTCCCCGCTTCCATTGTATGGGACGTGGATGGTGCTCCTGGAGTGTGACATGGGGTGCTGGCTTTTTATCCTCTACTGTCAAAACTCTCCAGTTTACTCTTTATTTGGCTTCATAGGATTTCAGAGTTGGAAATACTTGAATAGTCTCCTCCCCAGTCCTTTCACCTTGCAGGTGGTTGTTCAACCTCTGCTTAAACACCTCTAGTGTCAGGAATCTTAAATCAGGTTAGCTCCGGGCTGTCCCCATGGCCTGGAGGTTAATGTAGCTGGATTCAGCTGTGTAGTTCCAGTGTCAGACCCAGTGGTTTGAGAAACACACCGGGCATGTGTGTATGAGTGCCAAAATCCCAAAAGGAGGGTGAAGTAGAGGAGAAAGGGTCACAGCGTGACCGTTCCCTATGGGGGTGCTTTCTCCTCTCTCTGTCCCTGTGTCTGGTGAGTGCGTGTGCCTCTGGCATACACACACACACACAAAACTAGGTTGGCATCTCTGCTTTATAGCAGATCATGGATCACGCACCGTGGCAGATGACTTATTTCTGAGCCTCAGTGTTCCTCTTTGTAGTAAAGGTTTAGTATTCGCCAGGTGGTTGTGAGGGGCAGAAACAATGTGTTCATGAAGCCCAGTGTCTGGCACTGTCAGGCACAATAAATGGCAACTGTTCCTCATCACTGTCACCATCACATGTGCACCTTTTGTGACGGCTTTCTGTTGCCAGTCCATTCTCCATGTATTTAAGTTCTGCAGTCTTCTCAAATAGATCGTAATTTGTATCATTTAACTTTCACATTAAGGGTGTGGCTGTATGCTAAACACCCTCATACACAAGCTAATGAGATTTTGAGTAAAAATGAACTTACACTGTCAGAAAGTGTAGCACTCAAGAGAAATTATTTTGCAGCATTAATACTGTTGCCCTCCCAATGACATTGTGTCCAGTTTCTAGGCTCAGTCTTAGTGAAGTATTTAGCAGCATGACAGGCTGTTAGCATAAGTGCAGTTTCCTTCCTAGAGCACACTTGGCTTAGCTTTGCCTGTCCTAGGTGTTTGCCGGCCCTCTGGGAGCAAGTTTCTCTCCCCATTTTACAGACCAGAAAATTGAGGTCTAGAGTAACAAGGAAGCCTATAACTGAGCTCTCGAGTGGAGCCCAGGGTCGCAGACGCCGATGGTTATGTCCTCTGGGCCACGCTAACTATAAACAGGGCCCCTACCTTTCTTGGGATGATCGGACATCCCAGACAACAGCTAGGGGTTACCGACAAGCTAGTAGTCATGTTTCCGCCAGATCAGAGTTAATGATTGAAATTTTAGTAAAGCATTAATGTAGGGACTATATTCTACAGTGATAGCATTTTCTCTGGAAACTCAGTGTTTTTATTAGTCTTGAGCTCAGTTGCTCTAAAAAATTCTCCTGAGATGGAGAAAAAAATGCAGGAATCATCACCTCACGTCATCCCAGGCCCCTCTTAGAAAGCTGCAGAGAGCCCAGAGGAGGGACTTGCCCCACTGGCTCCTAGGCCACGGCCCCTTCTGTTAGTTTGCCATATGAACTGGTGAGCCGTTTGTGGAAATGACAGGATTCCGTTCATACACAGGTAGCTTCTATCGAATGAAGTCTGACTGGTTATGCTTCACTTATGCAGAGCCCTGCTTCCCTGATGTCGTGGGCAGTGTCAGAGCAGGAGGCAGCTCAGGTGGCCAGTGAAAGTATACTCAGAGGCTGTCGGCACCAACCCAGAGTGCTAGGAAAGAGAAGGGTGTAGCCTGGGATTTGGGCACTTCGCTGACTTCTCTCCTAAACGTCTGTGGATGCAGCCCGCTCCCAACATTTACTGTGGCTTACTGCAGAGTGGCTGTTACTTGATTGCCCAGAGTCTGCTGGGCGTGGGCATGGGTATGGGGTAGGTGATTGCTGGGATACCAGATGGGGTGGGGGTCAGACAGGTGGTTTGGAAGAGCTTCTCAAATGATTCTGAGACTTTCCCACCCTCATCCTCTTAGGAATGCCCTCTCAAAAGGGAGTAGGGGGATATCTGAGGGATGACAGCCATCTGTGGAGAATCTAGTTAGTGCCTCATTATCATGGAATACAGAGGGATGTACTTTACACGTGGGGAGAGTGGGGAAGGAATTTTTTTAAAAAGATTAATTATTTAATTTTATTTATTATTATTATTATTTTTTTAATTTGACCAGAAAGAAAAAGAGGGAGAGGGAGAGAGAGAGAGGGAGAGAGAAAGCAAGCCTTCAGGTCCAGGACTTGAACCATGGTTGGCCATGTGGGAGTCCAGCGCCTTAACCACCACGCAACCTGCTGGCCGGAAAGAAATTCTTTAAACATTTGAAGTCAAGTTATAGGCAGAAGGAAAACAGAAGTTAATTGGTATTCCTGGCCCATGAAATCCATATCTGCCCAGAGCCCAGAGTATTTTTCTGCCTTACCTGGTCGAATTCTTGTTTTTACACAGTTAGGGAGCCCATTTACTCAGCAAAGAAAAGTTACTGAAGTTATCGATCAGTGGGCACTGTTAGAGCCTCGAACTATAAAGATGAATGAAACAGAGCTCCTGCTCCACGGGCCTCCTGGTGTGGTTGGAAGATTAGCGGGGTGGGCTTCTCTCAGGAGTGGGGGGAGGGTCTAGCAGTAATTTCTGCCTGGGAAGGGTTTTGACCGCTGCCCTCGCTTGGCCCAGGTGCCGGATGTGCTCTCTGACATTCTACTCAAAGTCGGAGATGCAGATCCACTCCAAGTCGCACACCGAGACCAAGCCCCACAAGTGCCCGCACTGCTCCAAGACCTTCGCCAACAGCTCCTACCTGGCCCAGCACATCCGTATCCACTCAGGGGCCAAGCCCTACAGTTGTAACTTCTGTGAGAAGGCCTTCCGCCAGCTCTCCCACCTCCAGCAGCACACCCGGTAAGGCCGTCCTCAGTTTCGCCCCATAGCTGGCCATGACCTGTCCCCGGAGGCTTCGGTGCCTGCATCTACTCCTCTCTCCACATGTATTCTTTTTCACCTTTGCCCTTTGGGAGACTCAACTCTCTCCTGTTATTGTCTGTAGAGAATAAACTATATATCCTAGCAGTCTGGGGGGCCTCAAAAATTGTGGTCCCCAATCCCGAAGTCTGGAACAACTTGTGTGGCTTCTTCTGTGTGGAAATCTGCAGAGCAGGCCCTGCTTTTATATGCTTCAGCTCAGAGCCAAGGTGTGCGTTCAACTTCAGGTCCATGGGGACAGGCGGTACTGGTCTTTGCTCAAAGTACTGTTTGGAAGAGGGTGTCTGTGGTGAGTGTGTGACTTAGGAAGAAAGCAGAGGGCTGACAAGACTGGATACATTAAGGTTCCCAGGAGCCGTGGGTTGCAGCTCTTCATCATCTCACTGCCATTCTAGCCACCAACTTCCAATCGGCAACGACCTAGATCTGGGTATCCTCCTCGTTAGCCTGTCCGGCCGGAGTATGTTTGGGAGGAGGGAGGAGGGTTGCTCTCATCCGTCAAGCAACATCATCTCACCCAGCAGAGAGCTGAGCCCGAGGTGTCGAACTGCTCCCTCCTCCCCCTTCCCTCCTCTCCTCTCCGGCAGGATCCACTCCAAGATGCACACGGAGACCATCAAGCCCCACAAGTGCCCGCACTGCTCCAAGACCTTCGCCAACACCTCCTACCTGGCCCAGCACCTCCGTATCCACTCGGGGGCCAAGCCCTACAGCTGCTCCTACTGCCAGAAGGCCTTCCGCCAGCTCTCCCACCTCCAGCAGCACACACGGTAAGGGAGAGTGGCGGGGCGCCGCCCCCCCC